CTACACATCTGCCTGCTGCTTGGATTACATCTCATTATTGATAATGCCCCTAATTACAGCAGCAGCCGGGGGTTCTTAGGATTAATTTTCACAGTTGGTTTCTGCCTGTTAGCTCAGCATTGGGTTTGGTAAATGGAAGTGAGCCGCTCCTGGCGCTTGAGCACCCGGTATTGATGCTGGCTTGGCAAGGGGAGTCCCAGGCTCATCCCGGGGCAGTGCAAAAGAGCTCCATCAGGTCCCTGCACAAGGAAGAGCACGGTCTGAGCTGGTCCTGAGACGTGCCCTCGCTCTTTCACAGACGTGTTGGTGTGGACCAACGACCAGGTCATTCACTGGATCCAGTCCATCGGGCTCCGCGAGTACGCCAACAACCTGGTGGAGAGCGGCGTGCACGGGGCGCTCCTGGCCCTCGATGAGAACTTCGACCACAACAGCCTGGCTCTCGTGCTGCAGATCCCCACGCAGAACACCCAGGTGAGAGGAGGCACCTCGGGGTGTCTCAGAGGAGGGTGCCCAGCGTGGGACACGGCTGCGGGGGGACTCCACCGGGGCCACCGGCTCAACTCTGCCTTCCAAAGCAGAGCGCTTGGATGGTGCATGGGCTTTTTTCATCTCATTCTTGGGGTGGGAGCTTGGGCTGGAAACTGTTTTCATCAGTGGGGAATGCTCATTTGTGGTTAATTTCAGGCTCGGCAAGTGCTGGAGAGGGAGTTCAACAACCTGCTCGCCTTGGGCACGGATCGGAGGCTGGACGATGTGAGTACCAAGACTCTCCCATGTCAGGTTAATGCTGAGCCCCTGTTCTTGTGCAGGAAACAGGAGAGGCAGGACCTCTGCTCAACTCCCTCCTTGTCCAGTGGTGTCAAATAGCGCATCATGGACTCTTTAGAGCAGTTGCATGAGCAGTATCAGTGGAATAAGCTAAAACTATTAGACAAGGCCCCAGGGAAAGTGTTTCCAGGCTGTGGATGCAGGTGAGGAAGAGCCTTGTGCATCATTTCAAGCCTCATGCTCAGAGGGCTGAATTTTAGATAGGCTGACCTGGCTTTCCTTGCCTGCTGCTTTAATATTGCCTTTTAGAGTCACAGATGTTGTGAGCACGGCACATCTGCAGTGGCTGAAGCTGGTGGGTTAGAGAAGCCCCATTAAAGCAGGCAGAAAACTGTTCATATTGAGTCACTAAAGGTGGGAATTCATCTGTGTCTCTCCTATATGAGAGCAGAGCTGTTCAGGGCTCTCTTTAGAGCACGGTCTTTAGAGCAGATGCTTCCAGATGCCATTATCTCGCCAAGGTTATGCATCCCTTGGGGTCTTTACTGGGGTTCGTGCGTTGATGCCTCCAAGGCACCTTTGCAGGCAGGACAGAGAGAAAGGCCAGCTGGAAAGGCTAAAGCCCATGTCATGGCATCCCGGAGAGGTCTCCTATGTCCTTGGTCCGATTCACCCGCACACCTCGGCACTGTTTGTGTACAGGCACCTTTTACCTTGCTGGGTAGGAGAAGGTATCTCAGAAGGTCCATAACGGGCTCTTCCCTCGCAGGGTGATGACAAGACCTTCCGCCGCACCCCGTCCTGGCGGAAGCGCTTCCGTCCACGGGACGTCCACAGCATCAACATGCTCAGCGGCTCCGCCGAGACGCTGCCTGCCGGCTTCCGCGTCACCAGCCTGGTGCCACTGCCCCCCCCGGCCGCCCCTGCCAAGAAGATGCCCCCAGAAGGTAGGTGTGTCGTCCCCCCCCCATCATCTCCCCTCCTCACACCACAGGGTTAATGTAGAGTCATTGACTCAGAGCCAACCGGGGTGGAAAAGACCTTCGAGATCAAGTCCAACCGCCCCCCAGCACTGCCAAGGCCACCACTAACCCATGGCACTAAGGGCCTCGTCTACATGGGGTGTGAATGCTTTAGGGATGACGTGCCACCAGGAGAGGAGAGAGACAGAGAACTGCTGGTGGTGATGCTGAATCCGTGTGGTCCTTGAGCTGTAGATGGGTTGCTTCAGTCGCTGGTCCACCGTGATGAAGGAGAAGGCTGGATTGGGAATGAAATGGGGATGCCCATGGCAGGGGGTTGGAAGTAGATGATCTTAAGGTCCTTTCTAACCTTAACCATTCTATGATTCTGTGTGTGTCACTCATCCTGGGTTGGGCATCCAGGTCAGAGCCTGCTGGGGTAGCACTGGGGGCTGTCAGGAGTCAGTCTTGTCCATCCTGCATTTTGGAAGCCATCCCCAAAGGGACTGAATTAACCAGTTCAACTCAGTCCAAGCACTGCTGAGCACCCACTTTCCCAGGGCTGGTGGGCCCTGCTTAGACACGCCTGCTGTCTGTGCTGTGTGTGTTTTAGCTGTCCCAGGCTCTGCCCCACCACCACACAACTCCTTTCTACCACGTATCTTGGTCCCTTCCAAAGATGCAGGGAGGCACAAGGTCCAGCCAGGTCCAGGTGGCCAAACGTGCCTCTTCCCTTTGACCCTCCTCTTCATGTGGGTGTACAGATGCTGCCTAATAAAGGCTGTGGTGGGAAGCCTGGGGCTAATTGCAAGCTCTGCTCCTTGACTCCCTTCCAGTTGGTGCCTCTGGGTCGCCAAGGCTGGAGACCTCCACGGTCCGGACGTATTCCTGCTGAGGGTCCACGTGATGGGAACCAGCCCGGCCCCGGGTAAGTGGATTGAGGCCTCAGAGCTGGATGGGGACCAAGAGGAGAGCACGAGGCCTCTGCCCAGCATCACCCAGGCAGGGTGTCTGCCTTCACCAAGGTTTGCCTTGCCATGGAGGACCACGGAGACCTCAGTCCTGGGGCTCATCACAGGACACTGAGATGATGCAAAAGGGATGCCCAAGATCCCAACTGCGTGTGGTTTGTCCCATCCCTGGACAGACAGCTCCCCTGGGGACCCCAGGATGCCATCCTGGATGTGGGGGTCCAACTGGGGTTGTTATAGGCAAGCACTTCAGGGAGGCTCCTGGGATCCTGCTGCACCCTGGGACATGGTTTTCCTGTACTAGGATTCATTACTTGCTCTACCTGGATTTGTCAGCCTGTGGGTGCTGAGGTGGAGCTGAGCCACCATCCTCATGGAGCCTTTCCTGCTTTGTTTCCCAGCACATCCCCACTCTCCGTATGGCCACGTGCTGGCTGCCTTTCAGGACAAGAGCCCAGCATGTTCCTCGGCCCAACAGGCGCTGCAGTCTCACTGCTGTGGACCAAAAAGGATTCTCTCCCTTCTGCTTGTGCACCCCACCGCTTCCCCCAGCTCCCCATGGCTCCTGCCTGTGGCTTGTTGCCCACCTCTCCCCGCACTGGCTGCGGATGCGCTCGCTGGGTGCCTGCTCCGTTGCTGGCAGAAGCGTGGTGCAATCCAGGGGAGCAGCAGAGACACCCCAAAAGCAGGCTGAGATATCTGGAAACCTTTCTCCTGCCTGGTTCATGTTGCCAATACACCGTGGGCTGCTGCACCCGAGCCCCGGGCATCAGGGATGGTGCTGCCCACAGGACTTGAAGCCAAGGAAGATTCAGGCTTGTGAAATTCCTCACACTGCCGGGCACGGAGCTGCCCCAATGGGGACTGGAGCCAGTGCTGGGGTTGGTGCTGCATGGGATGGAGCAGGGACCAGCCATTGTGGGGACAAGGGGGTGACATCTGCCTAGAGGTGGGCAGCCGGAGCGCTGCAGTTTTGGGTGCTGCCAGATGCCACATGGGGAGAGGCTGCATGGGGAAGGGCTGGAATCGCCCCATAGGGCTCACTGCTGGCTGGGGCAGTACCCAGCATCCATGAGAGAGGGGACACAATGGGGGTACCCACCACCCGGGACATGCCCGTCCTTTCCCCTCCGGGTACAGAGGAGATGCTCTTCCCCCCCCTGCCTCCAGGCTATGGGCAGGGATCTATCCAGGAGGCTCCAACTCTTCCCATTTCTTCCCCGTAGGGTAGGATCTCTTCATCTCCTCATGCCACGTTTGCCTTGTGTGGCCCCTATTTCTGATGTGATATTTATTGATGGCTGGAATGACCTTATACTTTATCATGTGCTGTCTGGAAGTGCAATACCTGAGAGGCTCTACAGTCACCATGTCTTTTCGGTGTATTATTTGCCTAATACAGTATTAAATATTTTTTTAAGTTGAAGAGTCAGTGAGCCCTTTATATCGAGGCCCTATTTCTTTCGTCATATTATTGGTACTGCATGGACTCCAAACCCTGGATCGGGTCAGGAAAGGATGTATGTGTGTTCCAATAAACAGGATTTTAAAGCAGCGCTGGCTTGAGCCTTCTTTCTAGAGCCCCAATTAAGAACAGAATTAATCTTTAGCTCCCCGAGAGTTCCTGGGGTGCAGGGCTGAGCCCCACTGAAATCACTGCTCTCTGATTTAACCGTGGGACATCCAGTTCCCACCAGTGAGCAACCACATTGAGATCCAGCTGGGTTTTCTGATACAGAGAATCATAGAACCCAGGCCTGGTTTGGGTTGAAGGGACCTTAAAGCTCCTCCAGCTCCAACCCCTGCCACGGGCAGGGACCCCTTCCATAGAGCAGCTTGCTCCAAGCCCCTGTGTCCAACCTGGCCTTGAACACTGCCAGGGATGGGGCAGCCACAGCTTCTCTGGGCACCCTGTGCCAGCGCCTCAGCACCCTCACAGGGAAGAGCTTCTGCCTAAGAGCTCATCTCAGTCTCCCCTCTGGCAGGTTAAAGCCATTCCCCTTGGCCTGTCCCTACATCCCTTGTCCCAAGCCCCTCTCCAGCTTTCCTGCAGCCCCTTCAGGCACTGGAGCTGCTCTCAGGTCTCCCCTTCAGGAGCCTTCTCTTCTCCAGGCTGCCCCAGCCCAGCTCTCTCAGCCTGGCTCCAGAGCAGAGCTGCTCCAGCCCTCGCAGCATCTCCATGGCCTCCTCTGCCCTCGCTCCAACAGCTCCACATCTCTTTCGTGTCGTTGCTTCCAGAGGTGAGCGCAGCACTGGGTGCAGGCTGCAGCGCTGCCGTGCACGAAGCCCCGAGCACTCAAACAAGAATGCCTTTATTTAAAAAAAAAAAAAAGAAAATCCAAATAAGTTAGCAAAAATAATCCTTAAAAAAAAACCCAAAACAAGAAATGGCAACTCCACACAGCGCTGCTAGAAAAGCCACCGTGGTGCTGAGCCCAAAGAGACACCAGCCCCAGAGAGACGTTGGTCGAAGAGCATCTTGGAAGGAAATCAGCAAGCGAACCCAGCACACGTGTTGGCCCCCAAAACCCACTGGCCCTGGATGGGTCCCTTGTGCAACCCGGGGCCATGGCACTGCCCATATCCCACCTCTCCCTCTTATTTTCTCAGCTGGCCGAGCAGGAGCGTTTCAGCGGGAATGGGAAAGAAGTTGAGTGGTCTCAGTGGTGCAGTCCATGATGCCAAAGGGGTAAATGGGTTTTCCAATGGCTGGAACCTTCTGGCATCTTATTCCCACCCCATTACCAGCTCGAAGAGCCGCCAGGGTTGGTGACAGCTCAGTTTTGGACCTGCTCCTCCTGGAACGTCACGGCCACGTCCTCCACGGCGATGCTCTCCACAATGGAGGAGAGGGAGTGGAGGTTGCGGTCCTCTGCCGTGTCATCAGCCAGGAGGTGATCTGTGGAGAGCAAGGGGATGGTGGCTCTGTGGGGATGAGGACTCGCCTGGGGACGGCTCCTGGCTCCACACAGGGCAGATCCAGAGGTCCCCCAACAAATAGAGTTGGGAATCGCCCCCAGCTCCCACCATTGGGGATGATGAGACCTCCCACTGAAGAAGGCGACGGGGAGCGAAAGCTCTGGCCGCTTCTTGAGGTTTTATTCCCCATTGGAAAATGAGATTTAAGTTTCTGCTTTCTGGAGCAATAAATGTGTGGATTTGGAAGGGATGGGGATCACTGGAATAACGGGAAAAACAATCAGCAGCTGCAGAGGGTTCATGGGGAGCGAAAGGGAGCCTGGGGCAGAGATGCTCAGTGCACAACAATGCTCAGCACCGCAGCAAAGGTAAGCCAAGGGATGGAGATGGATGAACCCTTGATGGGGACCCAGGCTGATGCAGCCCAGTTTCTCACCCCCTAAGAGAACGTTTCTTGGTGAAATCAGTGAGAGAAGCCTGAACTCACTCAGCATCCAGCCAAAGAGGTGCAGGAGGATTTATGAGTCTGGGGGGAGCCATCCCAGCAACAGCGGGATGGGGAGAGAAGCTCAAAGCTCCTTCTATCCTCTGCTCCGATCATCTCCTGCTTGGGGGGCTTGGCTCAGCGATGCTCTGCTCCAGGGCTGTGGGTCCCTAATTGCTGCCCCCCATTGCAGAGCCCGGTGAGGTGGGGTGGACCTTACCTGCGGGGTTGGTGCTGAACTCCAGCTGGCTGCTCCACTCGGGGCTGCAGGACGAGCTGCCGGACCCACACTCGCTGCCCGCCTGCAGGGAGCCAAGGGGTTCACCATGGGTCTCACTTCTTCAGCCCAGCCAAACTCCACCAACCGCCCCAAAAGCACCCCAGGGAGCCCAATGCCCTGCGGAGATGGGGACATCTCTCCCCATCTGCAAAGGGGCTTGAGACGACAGCATTCAGCATCCCCACGACCCATTGGGAGATGCTTCGTTAACCATAAGGGCTGAAAAGGGGGATTCCTGGGGATCATCTTTGGGCAGTTTGATTTGTGGGCTTGGAGCTGAAGGGGTTTTTCAGAGGGAAGAGCTGGCAGCCTGGAAACCGAGGGTGGTACTCAGCAAAGCTCTGCATTCACTTTCCTTCTGTGTGCATCCTTACCTGGAAGTAGATGCTGGCTCAGGTTAGACCCCAAATCTGGTTTATAGGGGCAAGCCCAGGGACCCAACTGTTTGTAGCAGCCTTGGAATGGCACTTCGGGTCTGCAAGGCCAGGGCAGCACCAGCCCTGAATCAACACTTGGATTTACTTCCAGCTAAAGGAGGGCTGGGAGCAGCAGGAACATGGGAAGTGCTCAGCGAGGGCCTGGGCACATTTACAGGGGCAGCCACAAATCCACAGGGTCAAACCCAAATGCACACATTGGGTTTCTCCTGGGAAGATCCAAGAACGTATAGGATGGAGCTAAAAGGCTTTTTCAGTTGTTTATTCAGCTGTAAATGTTGGGCTACCTGGGTACTGCTGGTTTGTGCTTAAATCCTTCCATCTGAAAGGACGTGAGTCTCTGTGAATCCCTCTTTTCTGTGCCTCTTATAAAGCCTACATCTGCATCTATATCCATGTCTTTATCTGTATCTAATTGTATATCTCTATATCTGTATCTATATCTAAATCTAAATCTATGTCTGTATGACTATATATCTCTAAATCTATATCTGTATCTATATATCTATATAAGATATAGATAGATATATATCTTTATCTGTATATCCATTTATCTATGTATCTAATCTATATAAATCTAATCCATATATCTATAACTGTATATCTATATCTATATATCAATATTGACATCTATATATACATACGTATCTCTGTATCTCTCTATCTCTCTATCTGTTCTACATATTGATAGCTAATCCATACATCTCTATATATCTGTAACTATATCTATATCTGCATCATCCATAGCTGCAGCTGTCAACACAATTCCACACACAAAGAGCCACAGGGAAGCGCACACCCAGACCCCAGGATTCAGGTCTCAAAACCTTGGATCAATGACCAAGACCCTGTGGTGCGATGGGGCTGGGGAGGAGGCAGTGGGGCTGAGCCCCGGAGCACCCATCCCTATGGAGCGTGGCTGGAGGCAGCGGGTGCTGACCCCTCAATGGCCTTCGGTCGGAGGCTTTGTGGGTTGTGTCACCCCTTGACTTCACAGGGAGAAACCAGGAGCATGATTCTCTCTGTGAGCAGGGGGAGGACTCACATGGGTTTGTTACACTTCGCTATTTTGTTTTATTCCACTTTTGTTTAAATTTAAATTCATTTCATTTGGTTTAAAAGATGCTTTGTTTTAGTTTGGTTTGGTTTGATTTTTGTTTCCTTTGATTGCATTTCATTTCATCTCGGTTTATTTCATTATCCATTTTACTCCATTTTATTTCATCTTAGTTCCACAGTAGGACTCAGTGCTCCAGAGCTGCCCGCAATGCCTCTGCTTGGGATCACCCCCATAGAGCAACACTGCCATGGGGCATCCCCCCCATAGAGTAACACTCCCATAGAGCTTGGGATCACCCCCATAGAGTAACACTCCCATAGAGCAAGCACACCCATAGCACATCACCCCCACAGAGCATCACCCCCTTAGAGTGTCACCCCTATGGGACTTCATCACCCCCATGGGGCACCCACCCACAGACCAACACCCCCATAGAGCAAGCACCCCCATAGTACGTCATCACCCCCACAGGGCATCACCCCCATAGACCAACACCCCCATAGAACAAACACCCCCATAGTACATCACCTCCACAGAGCATCACCGCCATGGGGCATCCCCCCATAGAGTAACACCCCCATAGGGCATCCCCTCATAGAGTAACACCCCCATAGAGCAAACACCCCCATAGTACATCACCCCCATAGGTCATCACCCCCATGGGGCATCCCCCCCTAGACCAACACCTCCATAGAGCAAACAACCCTATAGTACATCACCCCCACAGGGCATCACCCCCATAGAGTGCCACCTCCATGGGACATCATCACCCCCATGGGGCATCCACCCATAGACCAACAGCCCCATAAAGCAAACACCCCCATAGTACATCATCACCCCCACAGGGCATCACCCCCATAGACCAACACCCCCATAGAGCAAACACCCCCATAGTACATCACCTCCACAAGGCATCACCCCCATGGGGCATCCACCCATAGACCAACACCCCCATAGAGCAAACACCCCCATAGTACCTCACCTCCACAGGGCATCACCCCCATGGGGCATCCCCCCATGGACCAACACCCCCATAGAGCAAACAACCCCATAGTACCTCACCTCCACAAGGCATCACCCCCATGGGGCATCCCCCCATGGACCAACACCCCCATAGAGCAAACACCCCCATAGTACATCACCCCCACAGGGCATCACCCCCATGGAGTGCCACCCCACTGGGACATCATCACCCCCATGGGGCATCACCGCGGCACTGGTGGGGACCAGAGGGCTGCCCCGGGGCACACTTACCCCAGGCTGCGCAGCGGCGGGGTGGAAGCGCAGCTCCCTCTGCTCCCGCTCCTGCTGGTTGAGGGTGCTGAGCAGGCTCTGCAGGCGCTCGATGTACTGGATGGCGCTGCGCAGGATCTCCACCTTGGGCAGGCGCTGGTTGGGGTTCAGCAGGGTGCTGCGCTTCAACGCCTCGAAGGCTTCGTTCACCTTCTTCAACCTGCGCTTCTCCCGCAGCGTGGCTGCCCGCCGCCGGTCCATGGACACCGTCTTCCTCTTGCAAACCTTGCAGGCCCAGGGCAGGCATTGCCCGGGGCAATGCTCAGGTAGGGCTGAGTCCTTCTCCTCCAAAGCCACCCTTGCCTCCGGGCACAGGGACACGTCCGGTCGCTCCGGGAATGCCGCCGCCTCGTAGCCCTGTAAGCGGGAGCCCAGGAAGTTTTCCCCATCGTAAAACCTCTGGTCCGGGAAAAAATAAGGATTGGTCTCGAAGAGCTCCATGGCCACCGGGGCAGCTCGGGGACGGACGTGTGCGCGGCTCGGGGACGGCTGCTCCCTCTCCCCGCACCAACTGCTCGGTGCCATTTAAACCCCGGCGCTGGCATTAAATCACGGAGATAAATATAGAAAACCCAAAGGAAACCTGAGCTCGGGCTGAAGCTGCTGCTGCCTCACATCAAAACTTGTCCATCTGATTTCATGTGCTCTCCCCAACGGGGATTTCACTGCCCAGACCATGCTGGGGCGGTGGGGGGGGAGAGGGCTGGGGGAGCTGGCACAGTGGGGACGGCAGCGAATAAGGGCTTTGTTTGAGCCCAGGGGTGCCACTGGGGATGGCCGGTGGCTGCCAGCTCCCCCCCGGCATTCCAGCATCACCTGGTCCCTTCAGTTATGGCTGGGATGGGGGGAGCCCACGGTGGCCTCATGGCCAGGCTGCACGGCCAAGGCACCCTCATCCCTCCATGGCTGCACCCCTGCATCCCACGGCACCCCGGATCCGCACCTGGACCCGGCACTGGCATAGCATCTTCTGCTGCTCAGCCTTTACCACCTCCCCACCACATCGCTCCTGCTCACCCCATCTTTCCAGCAGCATAAAGCCCTGATCCTGCTGAAGCTGTGGGGAAGGGGAGGAATCCAGCCCCACGGAGGACATCCCAATTCAGGGAGCACCCCAGGGTCCAGCCCTTTCTCCATGGGCATCCTTCACTGTGCAGTACCTGTCCTGGTACCAGCCACTGCACTCTGCTGCCCATCTCTCCTCCCTGATCCACAGGCAGGATGGCTCCAGGCCCAGACTTTCCTCCACCAGGAGCTTCCTGAAGGTTCCTGGCTGAGTCCCTTACCCCAGAGCTGCATTTTTAGCCCAAAATCCATGTTCATGGCTTCTCCTATGCACTAAACCCAAAGGGCTCCATGCCCCAAACCCAAAGGGCTCCATGCCCCATCAGAGGAGCCCAGCTGGGATGGATCCCACTGGCTTAGCCAAACTGGCCTCTCTACCTGTGGATAACCCATCTCCCAGTAAAGGCACATTGCTCCCACATTCCCAATGGGGAAACTGAGGCACGATCATGGACACTGCACGAGCATCAGTCCCCTCCCTTCCCTACTGACCCCAACCCTTTGACCGCATCTCTCCAGCTTTGTCTTTACTTCAGAGGGGATGGTGGGTTTTTTTCCATCAGGAACGTCAGAAACCATCTCCCATCTCCTCCTATTCCTGCTCCAGGCCAGATTCCAGCCGAGGGATCGGTCAGTGGAAAGAATGTCAGCAAAGAGCAGGGCCAACCCTGCCGGGTTTTTCCTTCCCCAGATCCCCCCTCCCACAGAGGCCACATTCCCCATGCCTGCTGCTGGCACCGCTGCTCACTTTGGGTTCATTTCCAGCCTTTTTGGAACCCACCATGATGTTCTCCTCTATTTGGAGTGATTTCTTTGAGGCCAGGAGTCTTATAACACATCCTCAGCCTGATCTCAACTCTCCAAGGGTGTCAGCCCGCAGGGTTTTAGCATCCTGCGGTAAGGAAAGCAGCACCTTCAGCTTCGAGGGTCACCCTCAGCACAGCACCTGAGCTCCAACCCCAGAGCACTCGAGGAAGAAAGAAATCAGAACACTTCCTTGGTCTCTGCATAAGGAGAAAGCACTGAAACAGGTAGGAAGAGGCAGGATCTATCCCTGAGAGTGCGCAGAGCAGCCAGCAGCAGGCACAAAGGTGTTAGGAGGGGATAACTTGAGCCTGATGGCTTCACATCACCGCACTCGTGGGGATCTTTATTGGTGACACTTGCTGTGGACATGGCCCTGGGGAGCCCCTGGAGCTGCAGCCGGGTCCCTGGGTGCGGGTGCCTGCAGCACTGCCCTGGCTCACCACGTCAATGGGCTTTTCCTAACTGCAAGAACCTATTTGGAGGGTGAGGAACCCGGCGGTGACATAAATGACTCCCAGGGCACGTGGTGGACCCCTACAAGAGAGCAGTCAAGCATTTAGCACTTCATAAACCAGGGCAGCATCAGTGGAGCAGGGCATGGGTTGAGCCAGCTGTGATGGGCCACCAAGGCCACCGTGTCCTGAACAGGCAGCGGAGACAGGAGGTGGTCCATGAAGACCGTGAGGGAAGGGCAGCCAGGGCCCGAGCGGGATAGGGACTGGGAAGAAGGACCCCAGCTACCTTTGGGGGGTCTCATCCAGGCTGCCAACATTGGCCCTGCTGCGAGGAGCTGGAATAACACTGTGCTCCTCCATCAGACCCGCTGTGCCAAGGATGACCCTAACCCTGGGCATGGCGAGGGGACACAGCGGGGTCTGGGGTCCCTGGACCCCAGCGGGTATCAGGAGAGGGATAATGACTTCTCCTGGGCAAGACCATCAACGAGGGACCCCAATGAATGGGTTATGGGACCCCATCCACGCGGTGCAACCCAGGAGCAGCTTGTCCCGGGTCCCATGGGTGCCCCCGGTGGCTGCAGGCTGCGCCCCGGGTGATGCGGAGCTGTCGGGAGGATTAGGGCTCTGCTGCCGGCTGTCAGGTTAGCCCGTGATGGATGGTGGCGGCTGGGAGGGACACAAAGGGAGGCTGTGCGAGCCCCGGGCAGAACGTGCTGCGATCCGTCACGGGGTGACCTTCCCCCGGCTGCCGGAGGCCTCGCGGGGACGGCTAAAAATACCCCTCCATTGAGGAAACCCCGCTCCTCCGGGGCAGCTTCCATGGGGCAGGGTCATGGGGAGATGCCCCCGGGGCTTTCCCACCGTGGTTCATGGTGTTGATGCGATGAGTTTGGGGGCAGCACAGCATAGGCTCCTGGAATCAACCCGTCTGGGAAAGACCTTTAGGGTCATCAGGTTGGACCAGCACTTGCCAAGGCCACCACTGACCCATGGCACTGAGCGGGTGTGAGCACTTGCAGGGACGGTGACTGCAGCCCTGCCCTGGGCAGCCTGTTCCAATGCCTGAGCACCCTCTGGGGCAGGAATTGTCCCTCAGCTCCATCTAAACCTGCCCTGGGGCAGCTTGAGGCCGGTTCCTCTTGTCCCATCCCTTGTTCCTTGGGAGCAGAGCCCAGCCCCTCCTGGCTCCATCCTCCTCTCAGGCACTTGTAGGGAGCCATCAGGTCCCCCCTGAGCCTTCTCTTCTCCACACTGAACCCCCCAGGTCCCTCAGCCCTCCCTCACAAGACTCATCATTATAACATCAGCATGTTGCAGGCTGCAGCACATCCCTCCTTGCTGCATGGAGCTGCATACACTGGTTCCACGTCCCTGCTTGCTGCATGGAGCTGCACACACTGGTTCCACGTCCCTGCTTGCTGCATGGAGCTGCACACACTGGTTCCATGTCCCTGCTTGCTGCATGGAGCTGCACACACTGGTTCCACGTCCCTGCTTGCTGCATGGAGCTGCACACACTGGTTCCACGTCCCTGCTTGCTGCATGGAGCTGCACACACTGGTTCCACGTCCCTGCTTGCTGCATGGAGCTGCACAGTCCCCGCACTGGAGAAGTGATGGTGGGGATGATGCCAGTTAACTTCTTCCATTGGGGAGGGCAGAAGAAGTAGCAGGCTTTAAGTGCTGGTGAAGTGATCCAGGTGGTTAAGGCAGCATCCACACCCACAGGACGTGGGTACCACCCTGCTGATGTGCTGGCTAGGATGCAGCAAAGAGATCCCATTGGGATTTCAACGCAGGAAAGGCGTCCCTCCAAAATGCCACTTCCAATGGGACCCACCCTCCCGTTCCCCCCCTACCCCTGCACCCTACTGCCCCGCATCCCCTCTGGCCTTCCAGGCTCACCGACATCCCTTCCTGCGCCGTGACAAGTCCTAACATATTTGGGAGCAGCTGCAGGCGGCGGGGGATGCTTGGCCCTGTCCCCGCTCCCGGCCGAGGAATGCGGAGCAGACCTCTCCGACACCCGGGATTTCCGACGTGCCTTCCAACGGGGATTTGGGATGGCGACAGCTGCTTGGCCACGCTGGGGCCACGGCAGAACCTGCCCCTTCGCCCCCATCCCCGCAGCCAGCCGCTGCGCACAGCCACGTCTCAGCCTGCCGCCGGGTAGGGCCAGGGGTAGGTCCTGCATGGGGAGGGATGGGGGACGATGTCCGGTGTCTGTCCTCCACTGGGATGGGAGCAGTGGTGGCAGCGCTGTCCGACAGCCTCGTCCTCACCCATACGTGCCAGTTTGGGGTGGGATGGGAGGGCAGTGCCATGTCCCCATGGGGCTTGACATAGAATCATGGAATCATGGAGTGGTTTGGGTTGGAAGGGAGCTTAAAGCTCCTCCAGCTCCAACCCCTGCCACGGACAGGGACCCCTTCCACTAGAGCAGCTTGCTCCAAGCCCCTGTGTCCAACCTGGCCTTGAACACTGCCAGGGATGGGGCAGCCACAGCTTCTCTGGGCACCCTGTGCCAGCGCCTCAGCACCCTCACAGGGAAGAGCTTCTGCCTAAGAGCTCATCTCAGTCTCCCCTCTGGCAGGTTCAAGCCATTCCCCTTGGCCTGTCCCTACATCCCTTGTCCAAAGCCCCTCTCCAGACAGCATAGAATCATTAGCCATCTAGTCCAACTCCCCCCTGCCTCAGTTTCCCCATCATTAAATCAGGGATGATGATGGAGGTGTGAATCTGGCTGGAGAACAGTTTTATTTTGGTTCTTAACTGCCTTTATAGGTTTGACCTGGGATGGGTTCTGGCTATCAGCAGAGAGGGGCTGGTGGCTGAGCAGCCCCCATTCCACTGGATCCCAGTCTGGGGACAATACTGGGTGCCCCAGCACACCAATCCTGCGGATCCCAGCCAGGGGGTATTAGTGGGCCCCTGACCCGTAGTCTGTTGTGACCACCCTGTGTGCCCTGACCCTCCAGGTGCCAGGATCTCAGTTTGGAGACCAACCCAGGTGCCCCAACACACCAGGTTCCCATCTGGTTCTCAGCCCATATAGCAGATGTCCTGAGATCCCTGCCTGCCTACACTGATGGGGTGATGCTCTGCCCCACAGCCAGCACTAAACCTCCTGATGTGCCCTTCCTTACCCCTGTCACCCCAAGT